TTTCAGTGTGTACATATGATGTTGTATGGAACAGAGTGTTCTTGTTTATATATTGTCTATAGCTGCTTTTCAGTCATAGTAGATGAGTAGTTGCGACAGACCAAATGGTCTCAATGCCTAAAACATTTACTAACAGGAAGACTTGTTGATTCCTAATCTAAATCCCAATCTGAGTAAACTACAAACTCGAATCCCCAGTTTTCATTACCAATATTATGGGGATAAAATCTACTAAGAAAGGTTTTTAGGAAAACTAAAGTTAGAAGCATAGTATTGCCTCTGGAGACTCATAGAAGTCAAATACAAATGCCTTATTATGTTCAAAGTAAACTCAAAACCTTCATTGATAGATTTGTTCCTCCTCCAGGGTGGTGTTATATGGTGTCTATAAGCAAGGGAGTTAGAGTGAAATTACGATTCCTCTCTTGACTTCACTACTTTTTTACTTATATGTCTTATGAATAGCCTGATGAATTAAAAAGATAATGAAATGTGGAGTCTGAGTGCTTAGACTTTGAAACTAGAAAACCTAGTTTCGGTCCTACATCACTAATTAAGAGATTTTGGGTGAGTTACCTAACTTCTCTGAGCCTCCACTTACTCATCTGTAGTACAGATGTAAAAATATTACTGATTTTGGGGCCAGCAGGTGGGGTGGTAGCTAAGGCAGATGGATTCCCATATAGCTCACCATGGTTCAAGTACTGGACCTGGTGGCTTGAAAAATCACACTGGGCATATGTGTGTGCATGCCCAAAATCTCAAGAGGAGAATGGAGAAGGGATTGAAGCATAGTCATCAACCTGGGGGGTGATTTCTCACTTTCTTTCTCTCTCTCTCCTCTCTGGTTGAGTGCATTCACCTATGGCAAAACTTACAAAAATAAAAAATACCAACTTTTATTGGACTATTGTGAGTATAAAATGTAAAGCAAATAAAACAGTTTTGGCAATAAGCTATATATATTTTCCACCATATTTAGGATAAAAAGTGATAGTCCTTAGCATTCTAAATTCTGTATTTGCCCTGTCTCCTTCTCAAGCTTCAACCTCTTCCCTTACTACATCGCAGCCTTAATAGCCTTTCTCGCCCAAATTATGCCAGCTTTTTATTTCCTCTTGAGGCATTTGCACTTGCTGTTTCCAGCAACCTTAGTGCCCAGCCCAGGCCTTTTTCTAAAGTACAGCATATAACATGTTTGAAGTTGCCTTCAAAAGCCCTTAATAAAGGCAAATATCTAAATATATCTTGAAAAAAGAAAATGTGGACAAGTTGTTTTGATTAGGCAATAGGCACATAATTGGAAGCAAGATTCTTCTAAGGGTGCTTTAATGGCTAAGTGATTAAAGCATAAACTTAGCACCTTTAAAAATTAACTCCTTTGACTTTTTTTTTTCCTTAAATTGCCAGAGGGTGCATGTGCTTACCAATGAAATAAAGAAACAGAAAGAACTCCCCAGCAGAGCACGGTTGTACCATAATCCTCTTTTCATTTCTCCATCCCATCAAGATTCTGGGAACACATTTTTGTGTGCATGCACACACACACACAATATATTTTTCAAACCTCTGGGGCCAGGAGAATATGAATTTGTAGTCTGGATTTTTTTTTTCCTCCAATTTGCTATAGGGCGTGTTCCCTGGAGAGAGAAAAGGAAGGTGAGAAAGCACACACCAGAGAGGATAACCACATCATAATCCCTTCTCCTCCATTTTCCTCAGGATTTGGGGCATGCATGCACACATGCTCAGTGTTTTTCAAGCTGCTGGGTCCAGGAATCGAATCACAAAGTCAGTCATGTGGGATCTAGCTGCATTAACCACCATACTGCCTATCTGGCCCTACAATGTTTCATTTTGCTGTTTATATAAAAAGGTTGTTTTACATGTGCTTATCCTGTAGAAGCTATCTACAATACTGTCAGCACCCCTTCCTTCCTCTGAGAGGACTGCCTCTTCCATACATGAACACAGTAGGTTCTGTCAAATTGTCAAATTCTTACAGGATCCAGGTTCCAGCTGATTGGCCCTATCAGAATCAGGTATGCAAAATCTAATTCTTCATGCCTAAATGGTTAGACTTCTGCCTTCCCACATTTTTTTTAGTGTGTATTTTAGAGGCAACTCCCAGTGGTAGACAGAAATACTGAACACTTGAGAAGTGTTAGCAGCCATGTTCTCTGTCTGCATTATTAAAGAAATTACCCTGTAAAGGGAATACAGCTAATAGAGACTCAAGAGGAACTAACTCAAACTCCATTCAGACCTTTTCTGTCCTTCCTCATCATTGCTGGGATGTTCAACTTATCTTTCAATCATGTAACATACCCCCCAAATAATTGAACAAATTCATATTTTTGCTTGAACTAGTTCAAGTTGAATTTTGGTCACCAGTAATAGAGCACTGATTAATGCAATACTCTAATCAGTGCACAACAGAATCACCTGAAAATTTCTTAAAACCAATTCTAGGGCCCAAATCCATAAAAGCAAAATCAGAATCTCTGCAGTCTTAGGTCAGTGCATTGGTCATTTCAAGAGCTACTTAGATTTTTCTCCAATCTTTGAGGAATATATAAGTAGGTATATAGAAATGTATCTTAAGCATTACAAGATTGAAAGAATTTATGACTGACAGACTACTAATGCCTCTTCATCCCATTGTTAATAGCAAGAATTCATATTAGAACTGAAGAGAGCCCTTTAAGTTTACATCAGGTCCCACACACATACACCTGAAAGATCAGATCCTCCAGAGGTATAAATTAAAGGATCCACATAGTATTTTAATCCCTCAACCCTACACCACTCCCACATACAAATTCATACAGGTAACTGTTATGACTTAAGTCTTACATGTTTCACTGTTTCTTACATGTAAAGGACTTTTGAATGAGCCAAAAACTTGGTTTGCATCTCAGTCAACTCCCTCAAGGATGTAAATTTCCATCTTGATCTCTCCTGAGGAGTTGCGGGAGGTGGGGGGGTACATTTCACCCTTTGATTTGTTTCAGAGCTTGGACTGTGTGCTTTCTAGTAGGAGCCCAAAGATTTCTACCAAAGGGGGGGGGGGAATGAAAGCTAAGACTGGCCAACTAGCCAGGTGTCTAAAGAGGTAGACGTCTACTTGGGAACAGTCTACACTCCCAGTATGGGTAAAGACAAATGATGTTTCACATAGAAATCGCCTATAACCCTTTTACACTGAACTTTGCCAGTTCCAGGACCAACGGGATCTTGAAGAAGCAAATCCCTATGCTAGAAACCAAGGACTGAGGTTGGAATCAAGAGGACATCTCAGAAAGCGCATTACCACTAGTCATGATTTTTAATCTTGAGCATGCAAAAGACACATGGAAGGCATATTAAAACACAGCTGCTGGGCCCTACCACTAGTTTCTGGTTCAGAAGGTCAGGGGTAGAGAGTAACAAGTCCCCAAATGAAGCTAAATGCTATCTAGGGCCACTTTGGAAACTGCTGGCCTACATTATGAGACTGTCAGGCAGAAATCCTCATAAACAAGACCAACTCTCCAAGGCCCTGATGGGTGAAGAGTGGAAAGGGGAAGAAAAAAATAAAACCTCTATGCAAAACCAGTATATTTCTTGCTCACGTAAAATCAAATTAGCTGGGTAGAGTAATGGAGTTAATGAAAGGACCTACTCTTCACAGTCATTTGAAAACTCAAACTGACTACAACTTAGCCATCTTTTATTCATTGGTTTTATTCATAAGAGTACATACACACAAATGCAAAGGAGAGACTTTCAACAGGGTCCCACCATGCTGTTAACCCCCTCCCCCATCCCTCCAGTTCACCAACCTTGGCACTTGTATATTTGTTCAGCATGTTTTTAGGTCAACGGGAATCCAAACCCATTAACTTCCAGTGCTACAGTTCAGTATACTACTTCTTTAACCACTTTGCCATCTTTAAGTAACTTCCAAAGTTATCCTGAGTGACATCATCCAACCATCAGATAAAAAAGATAATGTGCAAGAATTTATGGGTCAGGCCTGGATTCCTAGACTCACATTCCAGTGCCCAGAACTTAGTCACAGTGGCAAAGCAGGGAAAATGTAGTCCCTGGCTGCACAGCCAGATCTCAGCAACATTACCTCAGAGAAGGAAGAATCCTTAGAAGGTATCTAAGTCTCTGTCACCAAACTTCTTTCTCATTGTAGGTATCAAAGTTGTTAAAACAAATGGAGTCATTTGTGTCAACTTGTGATCCTGTCTAAATAGAGCCAGGGAAAGCCATGAAGGATTCTCATGGACATGTGCCTGATACAAAAAAACTGTCACAAGGACTCTCCTAGAACCTTGCATAAGCCATTTCAAACTTACACAAAAAATACTGCGTCCAACCATGGATTGATGCAACCTTTGTTAATGATCTTAGTAGCCAGGATTAACTGTCCCCAATTTATGTAATCCCTTTTTTTCTTTTAAAAATGCCTGCTTTCCCTTACTTTGTCTGTAAGTCACTATGCAAGCACATTCCACACTGCAATGCTCAATGCTGACTATTTTTTTAGTCTCTCCGTCTATTAGGGGACGACACAGGCTTCTAGCCTAAGTCTGAACTTAGGTTTTAAAAAAAAAATGTTTAACCACATAGACATCTTACTAAAATAAATATATGAAACTAAAAGTGACTAAAGGATTTATTACCTGAGTAACGGGGAGTGGGGGAGGGGAGATATCTTATGGGAGTCCCCTGCAAGAGGACATCCAAGATAGGGACAAAAAGCTAAGACAGTGGGTTTACTGGAGCAGTCATGAGGAAAAATAAAGTTCCTGGTTTATAACTCTACTGAGCTCTTCTAACATGTTACACTGTTTTGACAATTAAGCAAAAATTTAATTTCACTTTATACAACTTGGTATCGTTTATTTATCACTCTCAACAAATTTAATTTTCAAGGATAGTTGCTATTACCAAAGATACTTTGAAAGTTTTACTGGAAGTCTAAAAACAGGAATGCTCCAAACACCTGTAAACACATTTATTTTATTTCCAGAGTGTGTGCGCTCAATGGAGGAAGGGTGGAGAGAAGCACCCCCGAATGAGGGATGATCATAGCAATTGCTTTCCTTCCACTTCTCTATCCCATCAGGATTTTAAGCATGTGCACATATGTACCTAGCATTTTTTTCAAACCACTGGGGGTAGAATTTGAACCAGTTAGCCACGTGGGATCTGGCTCCCTAAGTACAGCACTTAAGTGCTGCGCTATACTACAGGATTGGCCCACTGTACTTTTTAAAGTGATTATTCTTACTATAACAGTATTCATTCACCTCTATTTTTTATAGATATTGCTAACTAAAATACTTCAGAATTGAAAAAATTAGAGTCAAGATAAAATCTGCTTACATTTTTAGTTATATCTCTTTTCAGACAGTCCAAACGAAAATAAACTAACATATGATGCTAGTTACCAAAAGGAAAAGAAATATTGTTCATGGTCTTTCATTCATTTCATCAATTAGGACACATAAGGCAGCATCTTTTTCTATAATCTGGTCTCTCCTATGACCTGAATTTTCCCTTTGTTGTTCATTCTGTCCAGTGCAATTGTTACTATCATCAGCATCCATTGGTTCAGTTTTCACTCTCAAGCCTGCTTCAGAATGGGGCAAATCATCAGGCAAAGAAGCCAAGCAATTTTGAATCATCTCAATTACTCTTTCCAGGTGTTTCTGAAACCTCTCAGCTGTTTCAAGTCGTTGACGTTTCTGGACCTCCATCATAACTCTCAAGGTCTCTCTCGCTTGATGGGGTCGGTATTCATTTATAAGATGATGCACATGTACAAAAAGCAGCTTAAGATCTTCTAATTTCTCTTCTCGTTTTATACTCCCAGGGCTTCTTATCAATATATCTAAAAGGTCTAAAAAATTAATAAGGATGGACATATTGAGTTTTCTCAGTTCTTTCTTGTGATCAAACTGCATAGGATGAAGCCGTTCAATGCCCTGGCTTTCCAAAGGACGGATAATAAGATCATCACATTGGAACTGGTTGCCAAACATCATGTAACTGTCTTTTATTGGAGGGGGCGGCTTGGGGGCTAAACCTTCCTGAATATTTTCATCTGTATATTCTTTGATGTACTGCATTGGAGGTGGTGGAAGTGCACTCACTTGCTGTGGTTCACCCATTGTAGAAGGTCAAAAACCTACAGAAACAGATCAAAAATTTTAGAGCTATAAAACAAACCCACCACATTGAATGACTACTGTATACATTTTTCCTCTTTTTCTAGCAGTTCAGGACCCACAACAAGATGATCTTCTTAGTTTTTAAAATTAATATTTAAGCAGGAAAGACTTTTCTAATGAGGTGTTACAGTCTCAACTATTCACATACATGTCCTTAGGACTTTTTTTTTTAAGATTTTTGCCACAAGGTGCTTGTTCTTGCCAGAGACTGAGAGGGAAAATAAGAAATCACCTCTGTAGTCTCAGGATTTTGGACAGGTTCACACATATACCTGATGTATTTTTCAAGTTGTTGGGTCCAAGAGACCATACACCGAGTCAGCCATGTGGGATCCAGTGCCTTAATCACCATGCCACTTACTGGCCCTCTCCTTATTACTTTAATACTTTTATCAGCATAGAAAACATGCTTTCCTATCTTCATCTATAAAGAACAACTTTTGGATTCTACACTCACCAGTTATACCCTTTTTTCTACAAATCTTCTCATAACCAAACTATATGCTATCTCCCAATCTCATTTATAATTCCTTTTGTTTTATTATAGTTTCCAAAAGCAATCACTTACTTGTAACTCCAATAAACACTGTAACAATGTTAACATGAAATTTCAGATACCAGGTATTATCCAATGTTGCCAAATGAATAATCCAATTCCATACATTTTTTTCCTGAAGTGTACTCTATAATTTTATATGGATAGATTAACTTTTCTACATCTACTACAGAAATTTGAAACCTAATTCAAGCCTGGTATCTTCTATAGCCTCTATTTATTCTACTTTAAGCTTAGATATATCTTCCAATGAGAAGACTCTCAAGTGTTTTTACATTTATTTATTTTTAAATTTGCTATAGGGCATGTATGCTCACCTGAGATGAACGGTGAGGAAGTGAGAAAGTACTCCTGGGTGGAGGTGACCACATTCTAACCTTGTCCATTCTCACCTTGGGATTTTGGGCACACATGCACCCAGCATGTTTTTCAAACCACTGGGTCTAAGATTCGAACCACATAGTCAGCCACCAGGGATTCAGCTGCCTTTACCAACACACAATGTGGCTGGTTCATCCAGTATTCTTTTAGACTGATTTTATCCAAGTTTCAGGATAATAACACCTCCAGCATTAGGTGGTGATGCAAGCAGTATTACACTTGGAATTTGCAAGGTACTGAGGACAGCTGTAGGGCAGCACTGAGTTTCCACAAGCCACAATGGTATAGCCGAGAGTCAAGGGGTAGTAGTCTTGGACAGCATGAATTGTGATTATATCAACTCATGATTCACTCATTTTTCTCCAATCTGTCTATAATCTCCTACCACTTGCAAGAACTGCTTATCAAAATTATCAAGAATCACCACAGGGTCAAATTGAATGGATATTTTTCTATGTTCACCTTAATCTTTCTTCCTTCCCCACACGCCCTCCTCTTTCCTTAGCTTCTGTGACTCGAAAATTCCTGTTCTCATGCTACCTCACTAGCCATTCCCTCAGACTCCCTAACTGCCTTGCCACTTATTCATTATCTCAAACTTTAAGGTCGCTGTGCATTAGAACATATAACCTAATGGACCGTCGTAACTTCAAATAAGTCATCATTCAATAAATATTAGTTCATCGGTAAAGTCATGACCTATTTTCCTATGCAAAAATGTGTCACAACTTTCTCAATGGTCCAATATTATAACTCCTCATATATGGCAGGTTCTGGATTCCGACAGAGGTGTTCTCTGCTTCTTGAGAGAACATCTCATTTTCTGAAGCAGGTCCTCTTCTATTCTAGCACAGAAGGGAAGCCTTGGGGGGGTGAAGTGCCTCCTACTCACTACAGCTCTCACAGTAGAAGCCACCATCATATTCACTGAATAATTCCCTTAGGTGCTAGTCCAGTAGCACCCAAGATAGTATGGAGAAATTTTCATATATAACTGATGGAAAGGCAAAGTATATATGTATCTGAAACTTAAGTCTAGCATTATCAAAATCTAAAATGTTGATATACTTTGAACCAACAATTTTACTTCAAGAAATTTATCCCATAAAAATACTGGTGCAAGCATGAAGAAAAAAGGGGTGTAGTGTGTTTATAAATACTTATATATTGTATCATTTGTAACACACTCATTTTGGTTGCAAATAATTATAATCAATTTTTAACAAAAATTTAGATTTATATAAAAGTTACATGAATACACAAAGAACTATTTTTCCACTCAAATTCTCCAAATGTTAACATCTTCCCTCATTTGCTTTAATGGTTTCTCATTCTATTACCTCTAAATACTTCAGGATATATTCCCAAAGCAGTTTTCTCTTTTTAATATTTTAGTTTTATCTAAACAAATTAGGTTATTTTGAGAAATTTAAGAGGGAAAATATATTTTTTTAATTTGCTATAGGGTGCATGCATTCACCAGAGTTGTGGGGAAGAAGGGGTAGAGACAAAGCACCCACCTAACCTCCCCGACCTCCCCCAACCCCTGGGGCTGGAGGCTGACCATGCCACAAATCCTTCTCCATTCTTCTCTCTGAATTTTGGGCATGCGTACACATGTGCCAGGCATGCTTTTCCAAGCTGAAGATCCAAGACTCAACCTGCAGCTGGCCATGTAGAATCCAAACACCTTAATCACGATGCAACCTGGCTGGTCCAAGAGTGATACTTTTTTAACTGCCAAGAGAGCATGTGTGTTCAATACAGTGGATGGAAGGGTGGAGTAGAAAGCATCAGCCTCTCAAAGGGCATGGTCTCTGCTACAATCCCTATTTCACTACCCTGTTGAGATTTGCACATGCACTTGGAGTGTTTTTTCAAGCAGTCTGGCTGGGATTCCAAGCACAGTCAGGCATGTGGAACCTGGCTCCCTTAACCAATGCATGTCAGTTGATCTAATGTTCTCATATAACCACAATGCAATTATGAATATCAAGATTAAAATTAGCCATACCTCGAAATGAAATCTTAGCCCATGTTTCACCCCACTCAAGCCCATTCTGGTTGAAAGCTGTTTTGTGCTTCCCTATAACATATGCATCGTCTATTTAAAGTGTCATTTTCCAAAGACCAACTACAGTACAAGTACTATTATTTTCTCTTATGTAATCTTCGTAACAATTCTATAAATTAAGTATTCTATGGATACTTCATAACAATTCTATGAATTAAGGATCAACTTCATTTAAGAGTTGAGGAGCCCAACTCCCAATGAGTGCAAGTTTTCACATCAGATCGACGGAACAGTAAATGGTACATGGGAATTCTTAACCCAAGTTCTTTTAGCTCCAAAGTACAAGCTCTCACTATTCCATCACGTCTCACTGTACAGGGAGAACGTGACATATTACCGAAGTTAGGTTTATCACTTCTCCAGGCTCTACTGAACTTCTCAAAGGCAGAGGAGGTCTAAATGTGGGAAGACCAGCACCAAACAGTCGCGACTTTTAACTCGAGATCATCTTCTAGTGTTTGCGGGGGCGGGGGAAGGAGGGGCGGGCATACTCTCACCAAAATAAATTAAAAAACCACGTTTCACAGCCCCACCTACAAATTATTTTTGTCTACTGAGAAGCGCTTCAGATAAATCTGAAGGTTGGGCTTGAGATACACCGCCGCTTTCCCTCACCACCTCCAATTAATTCAGCTAATTTCATACTTGCTCCTGAAACAGTGCAGGTACGGTAAGTCTCGTTGACAAAGGGCCGAAGAGATCAAGGCCGACTCGCCAAGGCCACGCAGCCTACTAAAGCTGTGGCGCGGCGCCTCGGCCCCGGTCTCCAGTCTGGGTGAAGGTTGGGCTTGAGATACACCGCCGCTTTCCCTCACCACCTCCAATTAATTCAGCTAATTTCATACTTGCTCCTGAAACAGTGCAGGTACGGTAAGTCTCGTTGACAAAGGGCCGAAGAGATCAAGGCCGACTCGCCAAGGCCACGCAGCCTACTAAAGCTGTGGCGCGGCGCCTCGGCCCCGGTCTCCAGTCTGGGTCGGCGTTCCCAAACGAAGGAGCCCGGCGCCGGCCGCTCCGCTCGGCTGTCGGCGCGGGACGGTGGGAAGGCCTCGCTCTTCCCGGGACGCGGGAGAAGACCGAACGCCCAAGGAGCCCGGACCTCGCCAGGCCTCTCATTCCCAGCGCAGTACCGAGGAAGCCGAGCGGTCCGGAAGGAGAAAGGTGCGCACACGGGAACCCCAGACCGTTGCAGCCCTCTCACCTCAGCTTTCCGTCTACACTGGTAAACGCCTCCGCCGCCTCAGCTGAATTCCGAGTTCCGGTTGCCTTCTACAGGAAGAGGCCACAGGCACGATCCTTTGATTGGGTAGAATAGCTGTCCTTTAACCGAAGCTCTAGTCCCGCCTCAGACAGGTAGTTAGCTATTGCGCCTGCGCACATCTCCTACCCCGCGGCTGCTTCTCTTGTATAGAAGCCTGCGAGGTACCCAATGTATCGCGATGCAGTTTGGTTTCGGGGTGTTGGCCGTCCTTTAGCTCCGTTTCTGTTTTTATTTTTAACTTTTTTATTTTCACGTTTTTAACCCTTAAGAAGGTTATCTATGTGCCTTCTAAAAAAATAGAAAATAGAAGTGGGGCCAGCAAGTGCGTCGTAATTAAGACGCTGGACTCCCACATGGGTAACCGGGTTCGAGTCCAGAACCTGGCACCTTGCTTTCTCACTTTTCCTCTCTCTCTCTCTCTGGTGAGCACACATGGCTATAGCAAATTAATAAATTATTTAATTTAATTCAGTAAATATTTTTAAAATAAAGAAAATAGGGATAAGCAGATATTTTAAAACTGAATCAATTCTAACCTCACTGTCGAAAGTCACATTTAAAAATTTTATTGGAATGTATGTGCTTCTTATATATTTTTTAAATCTGGAAACATCTGTGAACATGATTTAAAACTAGTAATGTATTCAGAATCTCCATTTTCTCACTATCCTCTCACTTTTATTTTTCTTTGGAATTAAAAAATGTCGTAAGAATTCCAGGCATGGGGACCAGCAGGTGGCATGGTGGTTAAGGTACTGGATACTCCCACATGGCCGACCATGGTTTGAGTCCTGAATCTGGTGGCTTGCTTTCTCACTTCCTCTCTCTCTCTCTCACTCTCACCTTCTGTCTCTCTCTGGTCAAATTTAAAAATAAAAGAATGAATAAATAAAATAAATAATTTTTTAAAAAAGTTCCAGGCAACAGATTGCCAAATTAAAATATCAGACGTAAGTTTGTCTCTTTGTGGTTATTTTCACAAGAGGTAGCACAAATTTCTAAATCTGTGGGATTCTTACATGCAAGAAGCATCTTGCACATAAATGAGATTATTATTATTATTATTATTATTTTGCTATAGGGCACACGTGCTAGCTGTAGAGACAGAGAGAGCCAAAAGGACAGAAAAATCACCCCCTGGGGGATGGCCATGCCACAATCCCTTTTCCTCTATTTTTATCTTGGGATTTTGGATGCACATGCACCTGGCGTGAGTTTGAAGTCATCAGGTCCAGGACTTGAACCATGTTTGACTACATGGGAGTTCAGCAACATAACCATTACACCGTCTGCTGGTCCCTCAATGAGATTATTATTCTGACAAAAGTTCTCAACTTTACATCTTTAAAAATAAGATTCTTGGGGGCTAGTAGGTGATATAGTGTTTAGGTGCTGGACTCCTACATGGCCCATCACAGTTTGAGTCCTGGACCTGGTGGCTTGAAACTCACTCCTGGCGTATGTGCATGCATGCCCAAAATCCTGAGAGGAGAATTGAAGAGAAGGGGTTGTGGTGCAGCCATCCCCCTGGTGGATGATTTCCCACTTTCTCTCTCTATCTGTCCCTCCAGTGAGTAAACACGTGCAAATGTTTTGGAGTACACACCCCCTAGAACTAAAAAAAAAAAAAAACACTTGTCAAAAAATAAATAAATAATATTCCTTTATGTTATTTAAAGAAAATTATAGAGAATTCCAAACATACATAAAAGTAGAGAGAATAACACATTTGTCACCCAACTTGAACAATGATCTATCCATAGATATTTTAATCTCTGTTTCAAGGTACACTGGAAGCAACCCCCTCAATGGGGCATAATAACACCATAAACCTTTTTTCTCCTCCATTCTTCCTTTGTCTCACTCAAGCTACTGGCCAGGATTTGAACTGCAGTTGACCATTGGAACTCAGATTCCTTAGCCATTGCACTGTGGGGCTGGCCCTGGCTGATGTATTTTTTTAGTTACTTTTTTTTTTTTAAGAGATTTTTGCTATTGGTTGTGTGTGTTTGCTGGAGAGATGGAAACAGAGAAACAAAAAGTGAGAGATCCCCCCCCCCCCCCAGAGAGGATGGCCATGCTGCAATCCCTTCTCTATTTTCCTCTTGGGATTTTGGGTATGCACACACACACACACACATGTGACCAGCATGAGTTTTAAGCTTCTGGGTTCGGGATTTGAACTTGGTTGACTACATGGGAGTCCAGTAACAGACCATTACAGCATCTGCTAGTCCCTTAGTTACCTATTAATGTACGGGTTTCTTTCCCCAATTCAGTTTTCACCCACGTCTGTTTATTTGTTTAAGAAATCAACCCACTTTTGAGCATACACCAGTCAGGCTTTTCTCCTCCCCATATGAGCATATGTCCTACAGTAGTGACTTCTAATAGCATTCTCAAGCCATTTGGCGCCGACTATCAATAGCATTTGGCACAATCATTTGGATTGTCCCAGGCCTCATTCTAGAACCTCTTCTCAGTCAACCACCCAGGTAATAACATCCAGGTAATATAGAAGCCCTGGAACATTCTCTGCTCTGCACTTTAAACCCCTGTATCCAATGATACTGAATACCTTTACTAGATTGCACTTCATAGTTGGAAAGGCTTACATCTAAGGAGTCATCTTTTCTTCCTTCTACTCCCAATTCTCTATCAAAACTGCCAAACCTTACTTCTATATGACTTCCATTTATTTTTTTAAGATTTATTTATTTAACTCCATATATTATTATTATTATTTAATTTGACAGAGAGAGAGAAAAGGAAAGTGAGAAAGCTAGTTGCCAGGCCCAGGATTCAAACCACAATTGGCCATGCGGGACTCCAGCACCTTTAACCACCATGTCACTTGCCAGCCCCTACAACTTCCATTTAAAAATGAGTAAGTAGGGGCCAGAAGATAGCATGGTGGTTAAGGCAGCTGGCTCCAACATGATCAATTATGTAGTTCAAGGCCCCCACCCAGAGGCTCGAATAACACACGGGACACATGTGCATGCTTGCCGGAAATCCTGAGAGGAAAGTGAAAGAGAAGGGATTGCAGCATGGCTACCCACCCTGGTGGTGGCTGAAGAGGCAGACACTTTCTCATTTTCCCTCTTTCTTTGTTTCTGTCTCTGTCTTTGATGACTACCCATACTCTATATCAAAAAATAAACAAATAAGCAAACATAAAAAGAGTAAATAAAATTCCCAATATGATTAATTTCCACCATCCCCACTGTTATGGTGCCATTATTGCTCACCTGGACTTCTGCAATAGACTCTTTTTTTTTTAACAATGTATATAATGTAATTACATTTTTTTAAGAATTATTTTCATTTAATTTTATTTATATATTTATTTATTTATTTTAATTTGACCAGAGAGGGACAGAGAGAGAAAGTGAGAAGGCAAGCTGCCAGGTCTGGGACTCGAACCACAGTCAGCCATGTGGGAGTCCACTGCCCTTAGCCACCATGCCACCTGCCAGCCCCGTGCAACATTCTCTTAACTAGTTTCTTTGCTTCCACTTGGGTCCTCTTGTAGTTTATTTACCACGTTACACAGCTGATCTTTTGCAGCTCTGGTAGTGCAATGGAGGCTCAATGCTCTATGACACTGAGACCGTCGGGAAAAGTCACAGGATTGGGTCCTGAGATCTCTCTGTGCACAAGGCGCATGCACATGCATGCCCGTGATCCCAGCTGGATGAGGCTGGGGCTTGGATGGCCTGTGAGGACCCTCTTGGAGGGCTTGTTACTCTTTCTTTGGTGAAATTCTACATGATAACGTAAATGTAGATTTTAACAGTAACAGCTACAAAAGATAATTGAAAGAGCTTACCCACCTTCATCATGACCGTATTGCCTGGCAAGTACTTTCTTACTCCCCTACCCCACCTCACTCTCTGTTCCTCTGATGTATGTATATGTGCATGTGAATACACACACCTTGTAGTAAAGTTCTTAAAAAAAAAAAAAAGACTAGGGAAAATGGTGTGTAGTAAACATTTATTTGTATACTCTAAATGGAAAGTTTATTGCTTAAATAAAAAATACACTCATTCAACAGCTTAATAAAAAATACACTCATGGGAACCAGCAGTTAGCGTAATGGCTATGTCGTTGGACTCCCACGTAGTCGACTGCGGTTCGTGTCTCGGACCCGGTGGCTTAAATCTCATGCCGGGCGCGTGTGCGTGCGTGCCCAAGATCCCGAGAGGAGAATGGAGAAGGGATTGCGGCGTGACCATCCCCCCTGGGGGGTGATTTCTCGCTTTCTGTCTCTATGTCTCTGTCTGTCTGGCGAGCACACGCGCCCTATAACGAAAACCTCTCCAAAAAAAAATACACTCATTCAACAGGTCTTTATTATATGTTTACTATGCCAGGCACTGTTCTAGAAGGTTAAAAAGACAGACAAAAGCCTTACTTTCTAGTGGAGGGACACAGACAACAATTACACAAATGATTAAGAATTTCAAATAGCAATAAGGGTTATAGGGACCAGCAGATGGCAT